CCACAAAACAGCTCAAGTTGCCACCAAGTTGTAGTATAGATCAACTGTTTCACAGTCATTCCCTTCTCCTTTTTTTTTTTCTTATTGGCTGAAAGGATCCACGTAATAAATTTAAAATAAATATAATATTTTATATATATAAAAAAATATATAAAATACAATAAATCTGCTGTTCTTTGCTGCCTTTTGCTCAGCACTTTGCAACATTCACCTGCAGTATGTACAGACTGACACACAAGATCACTTTTCGCTTGTCTAAAGTCATTCCCAAAGGCATGACTGTTCATAAATTCTCTTCCCAGTTAGACTTCAACAATATTTTGTTTTATTCTGCTGTACTGATTCCATGGTATGCCTTGGATGCCAACTGTATGCAAGAATTCTGAGTGACCAACATTTCTCCTCTTTTAGAAGTTTATTTTCCTCAGGGATTGAAACAGTTTAGCTGAACTCACTTCAAGACTTTACAATTAGGATAACCCAATAAAAATTAGATGTTTATGACTTACAGGAATTTTAAAGTTTAAAATCCATTTAAAACAAGTTTCACAGAGGTTAAAGTCTATTGCAGGAGATTAAGTCTTGAAAATTAAGCACCAGAGATTTCCGTTTAGAGATTAAACACTATTATACACACAATTCAAACCAAAGCCCTGAAAATTAAACTTAAGCTACACTCACTTCATTTGCTCAGTTTAGGTTCAAATGTATGGAAAATTACTTCAAAGGTTTACTTGCAAGCAGCCTCAGTATTTGAGGGGGGGGGGGAAAAGTTGCATGTTGAAGATACTTTTAAAAAAGGGTCACCTCATAACAAAACACTTCATAAGCTATTTCCTTAGTAAGTTGGAACAGTAAGAAGGTATTTGTTTTAGGAAGCAATAAATCATCAACATGTTACAGAACAAGTCTTAAAAACTGGCAAATAAAAGCAAAAGAACGCTTAAGCCTTGTATTATAAATAATTGCAAGTAGAAGCGTGCAATTGCATCTTTCAAACACATTACGATTTACCTGCAACACCATTCAATTCGGCCTTCCCCTTCACAAGTTTTTGCCCAGTGATTATCTGCAAGGTTCTTCATTGCCACAGCATATTCACACAGAGTTTCCTCATCCTCGCAGTGCTCACGCCAGATCTTATCAAAGTCTCCCACTAAACAAAACAACAACAACAAAAATTGCACATTAGATACAAAGCGTCTCATTATCTCCATGGCAAAATCCCCATCTTCCAGTTAAAATAAGGTATATAATGCACCGAGAGATTACTTTACCTGCACGTAACTAAAACAAAGGTCTCCTTTCTCTAGTCAAACACAAAATTCCAAATTTTGGAGAAGGAAGGGGCTATCCAGTACTTGAGAAACTAGCAATATTCTCAGTATACTGATTTTGTTTCTTTTGTTGTGAAATTCAAGTCCCTGGGAAGTTTCGCTTTCAGGTTTCTGTGCATGAGCATTAACATGACAAACATTTTAGAAATGAAAGACTGAAGGTTTTCCAGTAGCATTCATATTCATGGCAAATACTGTGGATGATATTACATGCAAAAATGCTGAAAAGAAAGTTTAACCCAGAACAGATATTTCTTTGGATACACTGGAAAAGAAATTCAAGCATCCATTGATGTCTGCCTAATCTAGCCAGGCCCAATGACTTAGCTTCCAGGGGACAGGACTGAAGAATCAAACTGACTACAGTTGGGAAATCACAGATAAACTCGTCTGCTGATCTCTAGGGACAGATTTATTTCCATCCTCCTCACCTTGCTGAAAAGAAGTCTTGCAGGTTAAGTTCTGGCACTTCAAAGTAAGGAGATACGATGATTTTCCCTCCTTTGCTGCTAAGTATCCACTTCTCCTAGCTTGCTTTACATAATGTACTGCTAAACAAAAACAAGATAAATGCTAGTCGTGGCTAGCCACAATTGCTATTGTGATTTCTACAGCACGCAAACCCTTGGTATACCTTACTAGAAGGATGTTTCTGCCCTAAGAAAGAAAAATACACGCTCACTGGTATGATCTTCAGCACTTCCTTTTGTGTTTCTTAATCACAAACGCATGCACACATCTAGTATAAATATATATAAATCTGTAGAATAAAAAGTATCTACTGATTTTGCACCTACAAGCTGATACAGTTCAAAACAAGTTTAAGAGCAGAGCTGTACTTTAAGCTTTGACTCGGACAACTAACAAACTTTTCACAACATGGTTCCAGAACCAGTTTTTGTAGCACCTTCATATGACAAAGAAATAATTTAGAAGTGTGTCAAGCATAAGCTAACTATTAATGTCTGCTAAAGCCTGAAAGTATGACCTGCCCTTCTCATATCAGTAAGAGATTTCTGTTTCTAACCCACTTATGGCAATTTCTTTGATGTGCTTTGTTTTAATTAGCAGTAAATAACAGATTTCTTCCAGTGGTACCCTTTTTATTTTTTCCCCTCATGTGCAAAGCAGGAACAATCCCTCCTCTCACCTGTCCTCCATGTAGAGCAAGATTGCGTATGATGGACAAGTATAGACAGTTGCATATTCGAAGACTTAAACCAACCATCCAGGTTACTCCCTATTTAAGTTTGGTTTAGGGATGTCACAGCAATTTTCTCTTCAAAAATAATCATCTAGCACACTTGTACAATCATCAAAATGAGTCACGTTTAAAATAAGGTGTTTATACTCCCTGTGTGAGATGGCAGTGGAGATGGAAGGGAGCGGCTATGATTTAGTTTTAACAAAATAGGGAAGCTATGCAAGAAATCACGTATTCTGCTTGTCATTCAACAAGCATATATAAGAAAGTTATTACACGGGACAAAACAATAATGTAGTATTATAATTGAGTGGTATCCCTCATTATTTCCCAAACGATCCAAGTTCAGGGAGGTATGTTTTATAAGAAAAGGTGCTAGCATGGTTGCCAATGGACCATTAGAGCAGAGAAACACCCAAGTTGCAGGCAAGCCCCCGCAGGGGTTGCTGCTAAAATCTGTGGGTCACTTTTCCAGAGCTTTCAGGAGAGCCTTATGTAGCAGCAATCACGCAGGACAGAACATACCGGGCTGACGAAAGAGAGGTAGGAATGGTATAGACAGTGGCCCACCAGCAAAGCAGGCAAAACAAGCACAACTCTTAGGAATCTTTATTTCTCCTGACAACAAAATGCAGAACCTACACAGCACCAAGCCAGAAAGCACTAGCCAAGTTCAAAGGGTATTCTCAGTAGCCAATTAATTCTGGTGCAATTTAGATAAAGTTTCACAGTCTGTCTGCCACAATTCTCTGAATCTTACTGCATGCTCCAGAAAACTGCGAGATGCTCAAATGACATGTAGTTGCTAAAGTTTTCTTTGAACAACACACAGCTAATTAGAAAGGAAAAAAGTAAACAGGTGGACACTTACTGAGGGAAAATACCACAAATACAAAATGCCAAGTTTAATACTGTTGTTCTTTTAGTCCATGACTTCATTTGGTCTACTCTTAAGCAATTATTCTATTTCCAAATACCACTTTTCCTTAAAACTTAAGAAATAAGACAGATGGGGAAGGAGAAATATGCAAAGACCAGATGCTTTTAGCTAGCCAGTCCTTTCTTATAGTAGAGTAGCTATGCCTCCTAACACTGAATCCTGCTCTCATAGCAACTCTTCTTATTTCCTTCTGAACAAAGCAGAGATTTGCACCTCTCAAAGTCAGATGAGGGTCAAAAGAGTCCACAGATAAGGGATCTTAAATTTAGATACATAGCAACAGACCTGGAGCTGACTACCAGCACTCTGGGACGTGAACTTTGGGTTACAACAGAGCTGCCTATGACAGCAACAGCTTCTTGGCACTGAGCTGACAAGAAAATAAAACCGAATTATATAGATTATTAGCAGAGACACGCAGAACAAAAGTGAAAAATTCAACACAAAGTAATTCCATCACACATCCTATATCAAGTCAATTCTGTGTCTACTTCTGGTTTGCTTTCATCTATCAATACAGCAGGTCTAGAGATACAGAAAAGGGCAACGTGTGACAGATAAAGCACAGCTTCTGTATGAGGAACACCTACATAGAACCAAGAAAGAGGCAGATGAAAGCAGGACAGGACAGATCTCCACAAGATCAGGAGTGACAGAGCAAAGGTAAATACAGAACAACTTCTGGTTGTTCTAAGGGTAAGAGACATTCAGGAAAAGCATAAAGAGACAGCTTCAAAGCAGGGAAAAAAACCCACCAAAACGTTATTTCTTCACAAAATGTATAATTAAGCTTAAAGTTCATGGAGATGAGCAAACTAAGGTAATCCATGACAAACTCCATATTCCAAGATGCAATTTCTAACTCAGGAGCTCCTAGACCATGAAATCACTGAAAGACAGAATGGTAAGTAAGCATATAGTGATACTCCAGCAGCACTTCTCATGTGATCTTGTCTAAGCATGTGCTGTTGACCCATTCTCAATACTGAGTTTGATATGATGCCCATTTGCCTGCCCTTTCATTAATGTAAGCTCCAAAACAACTGCAGATAAAGGGTCTTCTTAAGACACTGGCACCATCATGCAGGGACTTTCAAAGACGGGTCTGAGCTTCAGTTTCCCTTCAGCAAGTACTGTGGTAGTGAGTTGTTTTGTTCTGGTTTTTTTATCCCCCATTCTTCTGCAGGGTGAGCTTTGAGAACGCACAGACAGATAGGTTAGATTTACAGGAATTTTAATTCCAGAATCATGCTCCAATATAGAGTTGAAAATGCAAATAATGCTTCCTATCTGTTCAGATTTTGAGGCAGTGACTACAACAGGTCTTACAGCATCCAATTTCAAACTGATACCTGGAACACAGTAGAGCTATGTATTAAATTTTTCAAACAATACATTATAATCCATGTGGAAATACTGCATTAACTCTAGTGGAGTTAAACATTTATTTATGAATCATTGCCTGTGTAACCAAAAAGCCATTAAAATATTCAGGAAGGTTTCACCGCAAAACTAATGATTACTAAAGAAATAAGATAAGTAAATTCTTCTGTTAAGCAATCAATAGTGCTGTAAATCAAACAGAAGTTTGTGGTAGGCTAATCTAAAGGAATAAAAAAAACCCACCATCTTGCACCTTCGATCACATCTTAAAGTTAATATTTGATTTTGTGCATTAAACTTTTTATCTTATGTACTGATGATGTTTAAGGCTACTCGACACTCTTACTATGCACATGGAGATCCCCTTTTATGCAATTTAAAACCTATTTTGAGCACTGACTCTTCAGAGATCTTCATACACCTCAGATCTCCATCACGGAACCAGTTATGCCAATGTCCAGCTGAAAAAAAAAGTGATTGGCAAGACTGGCTTGTAACAGGAGTTCCACACAACTCTCAAATCACTACAGTGACATTATTTTAGAATTATTTAATGTTTGCTCTCCTCTCTATCCAGAATTGCCTAGAAAATAAATAAGTTACCTACTCTTCACCTTGAAAATTCACTATTCCTTTAAAGACAAAAAAGCCCAAAGCCCATCTCTTTCTAGCAATTCCATCAGTGAATAAATGACTGACCGACTTGTAGGTTCTTTGTAATACAGTCTTTTCTAATGCAATATCAAAAATCCAATACTATTTACCTAGAACTGATGAATCCCTTGAAACAATTTCCACCCACATTAATATTGCCTGCAGGATAGCCAAATCATACCCCCAAACTCAACCACAGAGTAATCAGCAGTTGCTGAATCCCGTCACAGAGAGAACAGATCAGGCACGCAGAAGTTATTTTTAAAGGATCCTAATTACAAAATAGTTTTAATTGTGGGTAACAGCAATAGAGACCTAACGTTAGCTGTAAGTTTCAACAACTGAAAACACTTTTAATAAAGAAGAAAGATTCATAGAAGCTCAGTAAGAACTCCCCTCATTCCACATTTACAAGATCTCATCAAAGGTCCCCAGCATAGCATGAGAAAACCAGGTTTACCATTCTTGGTGGGACAATCCCACATCACAACTCTTCTCTCCAGGCAGTCTATTTTTAAGAACAAAAATCCAGTTTTCTTCCAATCCTATTTTTTGTTGGTCTTTTTTTATTTTTAAAAGACATTTATTTATAGAGTGGTAAATGGAATTGTCATTTAAGGAATGTTTAGGAAATAAATACACAAATTAATTAGTCAATTATTCTTCATCTTCTGATGGAACAAATCATACCAATTGGTATTTTAAAACACCACCCTCTGTATATAAAAGGAACAGAGCTCGGTTTTGCTAAAAGCACTATTTTTCATTTTGGAATGGGATAAAACCCCAAATGACTGATTTGAATCATTCTATTTTATCAAGCAATAAAATAATTAAGTCACGTAGAATTAAAAGTACTATCTGCACTCACGAGACAAGTTTTATAATTACTGTTTTCCTTAATTCCATTGTTGCTCTTCAGAAAAACAATGCCGTCATCTCTGACAATCTCAAAAACAAGTACAAAATACTTCATCTGTCACCAAACAAGATCTTGCATCCCAAAATTTAACTGACACCATGCACTTAAGCTGCAGGTAGACGCAATGTGGGTTTAGATCTTAATCAACAACTCCCCTCAAAAGAAACAGTTTTTTAACATTTGAGGAAAACTGGAATTAGAACAGCCATTATTTCCTTTTGGAAAACTACAATTTTCTGAATTCAAAGTAGCTATAATTGAGAAGAAAAAAGAAAAAAAAAACCAACACCAAACAAGGGTTTAAAGGTCCGAAGTCTCGGCTATTTACATGGTGATATAAAGTGATAATGTAAAACAACCAGATTCTACCCACTCGCTTTTCAATACTTCTATTTAACAGCACATTGCCTTCCTAGGTACACTTTTGATAGCTCTGGCAGAGGAGAAAATAAGCTCAATACATTGACTAACAATGAAAGACAGAAGTGACACGTTCCCATTTATACAATAGTTATTAATGAACCTCTTCGAATTGCTCATTGTAAAAAGCAAACTTATCCCCACAATTAACAAGCATCCATGACAATGCTGGGTAACTTCAGATGACAGGCTGCTGGCCATGGCAATGCCTAGCAAGATCTTTGAGCTTTCTTTTTTGTTGTTGATGGCAATGCACTGTGGAATGAAAAAAAAAAAATCCATCTCATGTTTAGCCTCTTAAGACCGCCTTTCACTTACTTGCTGGAAACAGTAAATCAGCTTTTACAACATTCTAGACAGTATATGGGAAAAGCGAGCCTACACTAACCACTAGGCTAAAGCTGAAATCAAATTCCTATGAATATCCAACAAAATTTCCTCATTAACAGTGACTTGTCAGTTGAAATTTAGCTGTACTACTAAGTGTCTGGATATTGTGGCAATGATTAATAAAATCAATGACATGAGGAATATCAGCTAATACTATGCTATTTACAACTTCCAGTGTATACAAGATAAACTAGAAACTTACTGAACATCTGTCTTCCTAAA